ACAGCCAATATGGTGTCTAAAACGTAAGTCTCTTGATATGAACTTATTGTTTATTGAACTGTTGTATAAAATAAATATCACATTTGTAACCATGCTGATTTTGTAAGAAAAAAACGGCACTCTTCGTGTGATATTGATCAACTATATGAATTGATATAAATATATACATTTTCTGCCTCCTTATCTTGAATGATGTGATCATTCTTAATGCATATTAATAGACTGAATCATGCAGTGAAAGAACCACTCTAAATGTGCACGCACACTAAATCCTTAGTTTTGGTCTAACCAGACTTCATCTCGTCGCGCACTTCGCCTCTGTAGGTGTATTTTGTTTAGCTTTTGCAATATACTCGATAATGCCATGATGTCTCACGAGTTCAGTATTTGTGCTAAACCTGCGCAGATTTGGCTTGCATGAACTTCCCCAAGAATTTTAGTATTAAATGCTACTTCCTGGTTATTTTGGTGTTATTAATATTTAAAATTTGCCTTTATTTTTATATTTTACATTTTCATTTTCATTTTTGTTTAAGTTTTAATAATTTTGTTAAGTGCTTTTGTAATTTTTTTTAGATATTTCTTTTTAGCTTTCATTTATTTTTATTTTAGTTTTAGTTGTAGTAATTGTAGTATCTTGACATAACTTATTTATTTTTTATATTATTATATTATATTATGCATAAACAGCACTACACAGCTGTTTTATGGGTTAGTATGCCTAAAAACAAACCTCAAAGGGCCGATAAAAGACACCAAGCTCATTTGGTTGCACAGATGGTACAGCTTCTTTTGAACTGCTTTGCAACTGTGCATTCACATTGAGCAACATATCCAGGGAGGCAGCACTCAGCTGTGCTTTATTACTGGGACGGAGCAACATGAGAGAACAATATGCATCTGTTCCAGGGCCAGAAGACTGACTGCTTCATTGCTTATTTGCCCACACAGATCTATGGGCAACTATTCATCCTGATGTCAGCGAAATTTATCTTTTTTATCTTTAATTTATCAAAATATTTATTCTTCTTTATTTCCCTGAAAGTCAATCTTGTAATCTTTATCATCGCACTCAGGTGCAGTCAAATTATGCTTTTGTTTCCCTGTTTTAAAATAAGGTACTGTTGTAAATAGATATTTGCATGTTTTGTGGGCCATCAGTTGTGTGCAGAAGCTGATAGCGGATATAGCAGGAAACTTACATCATGAGGCATGAGGCTTTTGAAGACCACCAGCTCTGTTTTAAGACGTTCCATCCTCTCATTCAGTTCTCCTTGCACAGTTTCAGATGACTGAACAGTCTGTAAAGAGAGCATTTGGAAAGTTTTGCTGTGCACTGAAAAAATGAGGGAGTGAAAATGAAAGCAATAGTTTGCATGGCTTTTTTTTTAACCAAATTAATTTACTTAATTGTTTTAATGAAATGTTTTGACTGGACTTAATGTCGAGTTTCCATGCTACAAAACTACAGTAATCAAGCAAATCTTTGGTTGTTTTTTTAGCATTATTTATTTGGTCTCAGAATATATTTTTACAGTGTGGGTGGGGAATTTTCTTCTATGCACTAGCATTACCTTACCGCTAGCCATGCATCAGTGCATCTGTATGGATGTCAAAAATCAACACAGTCACAATATGATAGGTCTGAAATCTCACCTCCTGTAATGTCTCCACCAAAGACTCCATCTGCTGACGTTTAAACACCTCCTCTTCCCATCTGGAACACAATAACAGCCCACATGGGCATTGATTGTACTTGGAATAAATGTGCACGGTGTGTCATAGTGTCATAAAGTCATGATCTGGAGTCAGTTCAGTTATGATTCAAATGATTCGCTCTAAAGAGGACAAAAGTTATTAAAAGTAATTCAATTCACCAGTCATGTAAAACTGCATATTAATACAACTGCATAAATATCATATGTACATAAAGGGTTTTCCATACAAATATCAAGGGCACAGCATGTTCAGTTACATCTGCAGTACTGGAGAAGAACACTTCAGTATCCACCCACTGCCACTGACCATTGAGAGTCTTCCTGAGACCTTTACAGCTCCCTTAAAATCACTATGGAGACTGTAGTGCATTGCAGAATATGCAAATAAAAGCTTAACTTTTGCAGGAGAAATGTTTGAGGTAAATTACTGTGCCGTTTTATTTTTGCTCTTGATTTTCAGCGACTGGGAATCTATTGTGTCTCAAGGTTTAAGAGTGAAGGTGCCGTGCAACAAATCCTGCACATTTACCCCAGTGCTCTTATAACAAAGTCACATTGTATTACATTTTATACTGGTGGCTGAAAGTTTAAAAAATAATTCTAATATGCTGATTTGCTGCTTAAGAATCATATGAACATATGACTCCTATGAGCTGGATTTTTGTTTTTAGTGAATCAACAACATGCAGTGCAAACAATGTGCTCAGATTCCTGAACGTATAAGCCGGTTCTTGAAGTAAATCGTTCAGTTACCAGTTACCAGAATCAGTCTGATGAATCCTTCACTGAAACAAATCGATCAGAGAGGTCACTGAATCAACATCTGACTTACTGAACAGCAATTTATCATTATTTTGTTCTTATTGAAATGAAGCAGGTTTTGTGTCAGAATCATTACTGAATGATTCTCCATATGACAGTGTCTCAGTAAAAATTTTATACACATTGTTCTGTATATATATATATATATATATATATATATATATATATCCTTCACTGAAACAAATCGAGCAGAGAGGTCACTGAATCAACATCTGACTTACTGAACAGCAATTTATCATTATTTTGTTCTTATTGAAATGAAGCAGGTTTTGTGTCAGAATCATTACTGAATGATTCTCCATATGACAGTGTCTCAGTAAAAATTTTATACACATTGTTCTGTATATATATATATATATATATATATATATATATATATATATTGAGG